TTTCTCAGTGGCCAGATTGGGGACAGTTTGAGCACCAATAAGAACTATGAAGTGAGGGATCCCTGGGTGGCGCAGTGGTTTAGCACCTGCCTTTGGCCCAGGGCGCGATCCTGAAGACCCGGGATCGAATCCCACGTCCGGCTCCCGGTGCATGGCGCCTGCTTCTCCCTCCGCCTGTGTCTCTGCCTCTCTCTCTCTGTGTGACTATCATAAATAAATAAAAAATTTAAAAAAAAAGAAAAAAAAAAGAACTATGAAGTGATGGGGATATAATATACAGGCTTTAAAAATCATAATGTCATAGTGAAACTCAGAGAAAAAGGAAGACACTCTTCTTTATAGAAGAATGCCAGATAAGGTAGAAAGAATGATGGAATTAGAAAATGACTGTTTAGCAAATCCCAATGTAATTATTAATTCAAGCAGAGATAATCCATGGATGCTAAAATTTTTGGATGAAAGATTGTTAGAGGATAAGATATATTCATACAGTTTCATGATTACTTACTAACTATAAAGGAGGAATATACCTTTATTATTTTTCTAAGATTTTAATTATTTATTCACAAGAGATACAGAAAGAGAGGCAAGAGATATAGGCAATAGGGAGAAGCAGGCTCCCTGCGGGGAGTCGGATGTGGGACTTCATCCCAGACTCCAGGATCATGACCTGAGCCAAAGGTAGATACTCTCACCCCTGAGCCACCCAGGTGCCTCAAGAAGAAATATACCTTTGAAATGGAGAGATATGTCAGTTATTGCCTTAACCAAGTGAACAGACTTGGTATTATGTGTTTCTTTGATGCCATGCAGTGAGTTCCCAGCATCATCTACACAGTATCCCTGGCCAGAATTTTTAAACTGGAATCTAATCATGAGGAAACAATTAGAAAAATCCAGAATGTGGACAGTTTATGAGACAACTAGACTGGACTTTTCAAAGATTCAGTGTCATGAAAACAAAAGATTGGAAGGTGCTCTATGCCAAAGTATTTAGAAATAAAGTGATATTTTTTTTTGCAATTAACTTTCAAATAGTTCATAAAAATTATATATATATATATGTGTTTATATAGATAGAAAGCAAATCATAGTTGGGGAATCTAGCAGGTAAAAGGTTATGTGTGGGGATGGCTGGGTGGCTCAGTGGTTGAGTGTCTGCCTTCTGCTCAGGATGTGATCCCAGGTTTCTGGGATCGAATCCCACTTTGAGCTCTCTGCGGGGAGCGTGCTTCTCCCTCTGCCTATATCTCTGCCTCTGTATGTCTCTCATGAATAAATGAATAAATCTTTAAAGAAAAAAAAGGTTACGTGTGTGTGTGTTTGTACTATTCTTTCAACTTACAGGCTTTTAAGTATTCAGAATTATAAGTTGAAGAGGTTACTTAATTCTGTTTTGAACCCAAATCCAATTCTTTAATATTTTTGCCCATTGATTTAATTGTGCTGTTTGAAGCCATTTTGATAGATCCAAATCCACCCCCACCCTTGTGGTGTTAGTGGTATTGATAGTGATGATACTGATAATTTTTATATAACATCTGTTGAATGTGTATTTTATATGGCAGGCATTGTGCTGAATACGTTATTTCAATTGATTCTTCTAACAACTCTTGAGTTGGTACTCTTACTTATTTTTTTAAGATTTTATTTATTTTAAGAAAGAGACAGAGCTTTTTTTTTTTTTTTTAAGATTTTACTTATTTTGAGAAAGAGAAAGAGCAAGAGAGAGTGGACAAACGGGAGGAGAGGGAGAAGGAGAAGCAGATGCCCTGCTAAGCAGGGAACCTGACAAGAGGCTCGATTCCAGGACCCCAAGATCATGACCTGAGCCAAAAGCAGATGCTTAACTGACTTAACCACTCAGGCACCCTTCATTTCTTCTTTTAAAGATGAAAAGACAGATGCTTAAAAAGCTATCACTAAAGCAACAACAAAAAAAAGCATTTAATCTTAAAGTATGAAAAGGTGAATTTGTGAAACAGGATAGACTATTCATTGGTAAAAACAAAATAGGAAAGTTTGTGATAGTCACTAGGCATGCTTATTTTTGGCCTTGAACTTGTTCTACATACAACCTACCATTAAGAAGTAATCTTTTTTTTTTTAAAGATTTTATTTATTTATTCATAGAGACATAGAGAGAGAGAGGCAGAGACAGGCAGAGGGAGAAGCAGGCCCCATGCAGGGAACCCGACGTTGGACTCGATCCCGGGTCCCCAGGATCACACCCCAGGCTGCAGGCGGCGCTAAACCGCTGCCCCAGCAGGGCTGCCCAAGAAGTAATCTTTTAAGTTTGAACCCCACATGGGTTTTAGAGATTACTTAAAAATAAAATATTTTATTTTTAAAAGATTATTTACTTGAGAGAGAGAGAAAAAAATATATATAAACGAGAGTGAGAAGAGAGAGAGAGCATGAACAGGGAGGAGGGGCAGACGGAGAGGAAGTAGCAAACTCCCCACTGAGCAAGGAACCTGACTGGGAGCTTGATCTCAAGATCCTGGGACCATGACCTGAGCCAAAGGCAGACACAACCAACTGAGCCACCCAGGTACCCCTTAAAAATAAAATATTTTAAAAAGAAAAAAAAAGAGGAAATCTAACGTAGTGGTGAAGAGCACAGTCCTTGAAGCCAGAATGCCTAGGTTCACATTCCAGCTCCATTTCATTTACAAACTACTGCTGCCTGAGAAGCACCTCTCCAGAATTTCATATTGGGAACCCTATTGTTTCCTATTATTGCTGTAACAGACTACTACAAACTTGATGGCTTGAAACAACACAAATTTATTATATTGCAATTCTGGGGGGTCAGAAGCCCAAAATAGGCCTCACTGAGTGAAAATCAAGGTGTTAGGGCTGCATTTCCATCTGGAGGCTCTAAATGGGCATGATTCTTTGCCTTTTCCAGTTTCTAGAGGCCACCCACTTATTGACCTTCTTCCCCCAAACCAACAATGTATTTTTCTGTACCTTTCTTCCATAATAAAATCTCCTGACTCTCATCATGTCCTGCCTCCTACTCCTACTTTTAAGAACGCTGGTTTTTTTTTTTTTAATTTGTATTTATTTATGATAGTCACACAGAGAGAGAGAGAGAGAGGCAGAGACACAGGCAGAGGGAGAAGCAGGCTCCATGCACCGGGAGCCCAACGTGGGATTCGATCCCAGGTCTCCGGGATCACGCCCCGGGCCAAAGGCAGGCGCTAAACTGCTGCGCCACCCAGGGATCCCAAGAACGCTGGTAATTACATTGGACCCACTCATATAGATAATCCAGAATAATATCCCTATTTTAAGATCAACTGATAAACACAACACAAAACCCAAATAATCCAATTAAAATGGGCAGAGGACCTGAATAGACATTTTTGCAAAGAAGACATACTGATGGCCAACAGATACATGAAAAGATGCTCAGCATCCCTAATCATCAAGGAAATGCAAATCAAAACCACAATGAGATATCACCTTATACCTGTCAGAATGGCTAGAGTTAAAAAGACAGGAAATAACAAGTGTTGGTGAGGATATTGAGAAAAAAGAACCCTTATTCACTATCAGTGGGAATGTAAATTGGTACAGATACTATGGAAAACAGTATGGAGGTTCCGTAAAAAAAAAAAAATGTAGAATAGAAATACCATGTGATCCAATAATTCTACTACTGGGTATTTACCCAAAGAAAGTCAAAACAGTAATTCAAAAAGATATATGCACCCTTATGTTTGTTACAGCATTATTTATAATAACCAAGATGTAAACGCAACCCAAGCGTCCATTGATAAATAAATGGATAGAGAAGTGACACACATACACACTATGGAATATTATTCAGCCACAAAGCAAGAAGGAGATCTTGTAAGTAATGACAACATGCATGGACCTAGAGGGTATTATACTAAGTGAAATAGGTCAGACAGAAAGCAAATACCATATGATACCATATGATTTCCTTTATGTGTGTAATTTTAAAAACAAAACAAAAAGCAGAAACCGACCTGTATATTCACAGAACAACCTGATGGTTGCCAGAGAGGAGGGATATAAGGGAGTGGGCAAAATGGATGGAAAGGAGTAGAAGATAGAGCTTCCACTTACGGAATGAGTAAGTGATGGAAGTAAAAAGTACAACATATAGTCAGTGGTATTGTAATAGTATTGTATGGTGACAGTAGATACACTTGTGGATAGTATAACACATAGACTTCTCAAATCGCTTATGTCGTATACCTGAAACTAATGTAACTGTGTGTCAACTATATTTTAATAATAAAAAATATTTTTTAAAGATCAACTGATTAGCTACCTCAATTCCTCTTTGTCATGTAACATAACATTCACAGGTTCCAAAGATTTAGACATAAACATCTTTGGAAGACCATTTTTTCTGCATTCACATCTATGTTTAAATTCTAAAAGTTGCATCAGGCAGCTAGGGCCAGAAGACAATTGGCTTTATCATATGAGCTCACCAAATATTTACTGCAGGGAGATCCTGGCTAATGCTGAGAATTATGAATAGGACCAATAATTGGGTTTTAGCTAAAAGGAAGTACTAAGCAGTCTATATATGTGTTCTAAAATTCTCTTGGGGCACCTGGGTGGCTCAGTGGGCTGAGGTGTGATCCTGGAGACCCCGGGATCGAGTCCCACGTCGGGCTCCTGGCGTGGAGCCTGCTTCTCCCTCTGCCTGTGTCTCTGCCTCTCTCTCTCTCTATGTCTATCATGAATAAATAAAACCTTTAAAAAATAAAAATAATAAAAATAAAATTCTCTTATTGGCATAAGTTATATACAGTAGATTCAGGATTCAAGAGTGATTGAATTTGAAGGAGGCAACTAAGTTTTAGTTTTATAATGGCAGGGAAAAATTAAAATATTAGAATAGATTTTATCTCTATTGTTTTGTGCCAGTCCTCAGAGAATGTACTTGACTTAATTGTAATGTTAGAGAAGCTCTGCATTTAATTTTAATTTTTGTATTTTTATTACAGATTTTTACTACGCTTGGATGCTCCTCCTGACATGGAGAAGATTGAGGAACGTTTTGCTAACCTGAACATTGTTAAACGTTCCTCAGGAACTAAAGAGCCTACTTATCTGCTTGGCATAGACACATCAAAAACTGTACAAGCAGAAAAAGAAAATTTGGTTGCTGTTTTATGTTCTAATGGATCTATCAGAATATATGACAAAGAAAGGTTATACATACTACGAGAATTTAGTGTATATCCTGGACTTCTTAATGGAGTCAAATTTGCAAATTCTTGTGACAGTATATATTCATCATGTACTGATGGCACCGTAAAATGTTGGGATGCTCGATTAGCGAGTGAAAAACCTATCCAGCTGTTCAAGGGTTACCCTTCCAATATTTTTATTAGTTTTGATATCAACTGTAATGATCATGTTATTTGTGCTGGTACAGAAAAAGTTGATGACGATGCATTGTTGGTATTTTGGGATGCAAGAATTAATTCTCAGGATTTGTCTACTACTAAAGACCCACTTGGAACATATTCAGAGACACATAGTGATGATGTCACCCAAGTATGCTTCCATCCCAACAATCCCAACATGGTTGTCTCAGGTTCAACTGATGGCCTAGTAAATGTATTTGATATTAGTGTTGACAATGAAGAAGATGCACTGGTTACTACCTGTAACTCAGTTTCATCGGTAAGCTGTATTGGTTGGTCTGGAAAGGATTATAAACAGATTTACTGCATGACACATGATGAAGGATTTTGTTGGTGGGATCTTAATCATCTGGATACTGATGAACCAATTACATGTTTGAACATCCAGGATGTCAGAGAAGTAATTAATGTGAAAGAAGGTACTTTAGAATATTTAATTGGTGGCCTATATCATGAAAAAATGGACAAATTGTTTGTTGTTGGAGGAACAAACACAGGAACTATTCACTTAATGAGCTGCACTACATCAGGATTGATCCATGTGACCAGCCTTCACGGAGGGCATGCTGCTACAGTACGTTCTTTCTTTTGGAATACGCAGGATGATTCTTTGCTAACCGGAGGAGAAGATGCACAGTTGTTACTTTGGAAACCTGGAGCAATAGAGAAGACATTTACGAAGAAAGATAGCATGAAAATAGCATCCTCTGTGTCCCAGCGAGTTCGAGTTCACAGTAATGATTCTTATAAGAGAAGGAAAAAGCAGTGATATGTTGTTGGGAGTTTACTTGAGAGGTTTTTATGTAGAGTTGCGAGTCATTATTTTTGTGTACTACCTGTGATAGATATGTTTAAAGCTCGTATGTAAAAACAAGCCAATTAGCAAACAGTCCTGGAAAAATGTTGAAAATGGTTTAATTCAGGTCTTCATGTATTCTAAAATTATTTTTTTTAAAGCTGCCAGTTGAGTATATAATCAGTGAGTTGAAAGTAAAATTACATTCCTCATTTTTAAAACCCATCTGTTGAGTTAGTAAATGTTGGGTTTAAAGAAATAGCTTTGATAAGGACTTTTTAAAAGTAGATGGCTGGTATGACTTTAAAAAATCAGGTGGTTTGAGCTATGTTTTTTAAGTTTAGTTTTTTTTTTTACATTTTAAATCATCTTCATTATTTATAAAACCAAATCAGACTGTTTTCTTTTTTTTTTTTTTTTTTTCAGACTGTTTTCTATAGGAGCTCCCACTTGCTTAATACACATAGATTATGTTGGAGTATTTAAATGTAAATATGCTAATTATTCTAAATAGTATTAAAATTTTTTAGAAATAAAGTGATTTACATCTATTTAAGAAAGATATATTTAGTATATATTTGCATCTATCTATCAATGGATAGAATTTTTTTTCTTTTAGGTAGGCTCCATGCTGAGCTCAGTTAGGGTTAGGAAGTCACAACCCTGAGATCATGACCTAAGCTGAGATCAAGAGTCAGACGCTTAACGAATAAAGCCACCCAGGCATCCCTATTTGCATCAGTATTTTTAAACAGTTACATAGCAAGCAGGTGTTTCATTGATGAAAAAGAAATTATCTTACAAAATTCATTTTGAGACTCAAAGGGAATATACAAAAATGGAATTATTTATAATAGAATGACTTTTTATTTCAAAATATTCTATTTTGTGATAAAATTTTCTTACATAGTGTTTCATCCATAATCTTAAACTTAAGTGCCCATGGGGAGTGGAGGCAATGCAGGAGGTGCTGCTGGGGAAAGGAGAACACCATAATTTTAAGCTTGAATTTTTGTTTACTGCTATTTTTTCATCTTTTTAAAAAATTTAGATTATTTACTTATTTATTTGAGAAAGAGAGAGAGCAGAGCAAGTGAGAACATGAGTAGGAGGAGAGAGGCAGAGAGAGAAGGAGAAGCAGGCTTCCTGCTTGGCTCAAGGTACATAATCCTTATTTAAGTCAGGGCTGGATCCCAGGACCCTGGGATCATGACCCAAGCCAAAGGCAGACACCCAACCGACTGAGACATCCAGGCACCCCTCATCCTTACTTTTAAATATTTTCCCAAAGAATCTTAATTAAAACCTTGGTCACTCTTGGGGTACCTGGTGGCCCAGTTAGTTAGGCATCTGACTCCTGATTTTGTCTCAAGCTGTGCTCTCTGAGCTGTGAGATCAAACCCCATGTTGCTCCGTGCTCAGAGTGGAGGCTGCTTGTCCCTCTTCCTCTGTTCTTCCCCCCCACTCAAGCAGTCTCTCTCTCTCTCTCTCTCTCTCTCTCTGAGTAAATAAAAATCTTTTTTTAAAAGTTGGTCACTCTAAAGATTTGGCATGTTTTTTGTTTTTAATTACAAGTAAAATATCTTTATAGATAAGAATATTTATAAAGATATTTTAAAACATTTTTATCTTTTGAACTAAAAATATTGTCATGAAAAATACAAATATTACTTTAGAACCTTTTACATTTCTCAGGGTGTCTGGGTCGCTCAGTCAGTTAAGTGTCTGCCTTCGGCTCAGGTAATGATCCTAGGGTCCTGGGATTGAACCTGAGTAAGGCTCCCTGCTCAATAGGGACCTTTTATGAAGCATTTACATTTCTCTTTAAATTTTAATGACTTATCTCTGAGACCGTAGCACTGGGGGGAAATTGTATTCCATAGCACAATGCAACTTACATGGAGGTATGATCTAGCTTTGCTAAGTTCAGACAGAACAGTAGTGAAGTCACTGTTAAACACCTTCAAAATACATGATTCTTTTTTATGAAGATTTATTTATATATTTTAGAGAGAGAGAGAGAGAGAATCTTGAGCAGACTCAATGCTGCACTGTGAGCCCAAGGCAGGGCTTATAACTGAGATCTCATAACTCTGAGATCCTGACCTGAGCCCAAATTTAGAGTTAGAGGCTTAACCAACTGAGTACCAAGGCACCCGTCAAAGTACATAATACTTATTTGAAAAAATTCACGTGTTCTTGCTGTTCAAATCATAAGCCTGAGGGCAGCCCTGGTGGCTTAGTGGTTTAGCGCCGCCTTCAGGCCAGGGCCTGATCCTGGAGACCCGGGACTGAGTCCCACATCCGGCTCCCTGCATGGGGCCTGCTTGTCCCTCTACCTGTCTCTGCCTCTCTCTCTCTCTCTCTCTCTCTCTCTTTCTCTCTCATGAATAAATAGATAAAATCTTAAAAAAAAATAATAAGCCTGAGGTTAATTCTGGACTTTGTTCTTTTTTTCCTATCCAGTCAGTCACCAAGTCCTATGCCACTCCACCTCCTAAAATCTGTCTGCTGTTCTTTTGCCCTGATCCCACGCTACTGCCTTAGATACGAGTTTCATCCTCTCCTAGATTACAGACCCTGTCTCTAATCTGCTCCAGTTCATTCTTCCTACTATTTCTAGGCTGAACATAGAAAACACAGATTTGATAATGCCTCATGGTGCTCATAGTCTTTGGTACATTTTTATCTTTTGATGGAGCACTATGTAAAAATGAAAAATCATGTTTTTAAGATACTTAAGATATGAGACAATGCTAACTATGTAAGTAGAAAAGTTGTATAAGAATGCTTGGCGACATTACATTTATAAAACAACAGGAAATGAAACAGTTACCAAAACACTAAAACTTTAAAAAATATTTAAAACTGAATGGGACACCTGAGTGGTTCAGTTGGTTAAGCCTCTGCCTTCAGCTCAGGTCATAATCCTAGGGTCCTGGGAGTCATGCGTCGGGCTCTCTACTTAATGAGTCTGTTTCTCCCTCTCTTTCTACCTGCTGGCCCCCCTGCTTATGTTTGTTTTCTCTGTCAAATAAATAAAAGTAAAATATTTTAAATAAATAAAATTTAAAAGCAATTAATAGAGGGTGCCTGGGTGGCTCAGTAAGTTGGGTGTCAGACTCTTGATTTCAGCTAAGGTCATTGAACTCAGGGTTGTGAGATCAAGCCCTGAGTTGGGCTCTGTGCTGAGCATTCTCCCTCTCTCTTGCCCTCTACCCTTTCCCCTCAACTCTCTCCCTTCCCTCCCTCTCAAAAAAAAAAAAAAAAGTAATTAATAGATTTGGAAGATACAGGTGAGAAAATATCTTTGAAATTAGACCTCAAAGAGAGAAAGTGAGAGAAAAGATTAAAGCCATAAAGATAAATATAGGGGTCTGATAGCAGACTATCAATTTTTACAATGTGAAAAAAGAAGGTAAAAGAGGTTGGAGGGATTATTAAAATGAAATAACATTTAGAGGCTATCCCCAAAACTTCAGTCTTCAGATTGAAAGGCCCAACAAAGTGTCAAGTATAATGAATGAAAAAGACCCACACCAAAGCATAGCACTGTGAAGTTTCAGAACTCCAAGAATAAAGAGAAAATTTTAAAAGTTTCCAAAGATAGGAGGAAAAAAGCAATCACTTAGGTACAAGGAAAACATGTGAATTAGACTCTTCATTAGCAAACCCACATGACACAAAATGGTGAATCAAAGTTCAATGTTCTGAGGACAGTTTCCTGCTCTCTGAACTTATGCTTTCCCAACTCATGAGGCAAAAGATGGTAATAAATTATTTTGGGACATCCCTTGCTAAGTGAACATTTTTTACTTGCTCTCTGAAACTTAGGAAGCAAATGTATTTAGCTAACAGAGTATCCATCGCTAACCAAACTCATTGGCCACTAAGGAATTTAAAAATTTGGATTTTAGGAGATACTTCCTTTTTCAACCTATAATTCTATAGGTCAGAATGCCCTCACGTGAGGTTTAAGACACTTCCAAACATAAAGATTTCAAACTTTACTTTCTGTGCAGTTTTGTGGAGGATGTACTCCACAAAAATTAAAGGAGTAAATCAAGGAAGACGAGATACTAGGAACCAGGGCACCAACCCAACATAGTGACAAGATAACCGCTTTGCCCAAGCCCACAGTATTAAGTCCAGGTTGGAACAAGAGGACATGAGTTATCAGGAGAGAGACGTCCAGGGAGGTTTCCCAATTCATTTGACCATGTGGAAAATGGAATGAGTGCCCTAAATTCACCAATTTTTAAATTCACCAATTAAAAGAGACTCACATTGAAAATCATTTAAAAATAAAAGTTTTTAAAAGATTAAGAAATAAATTCACTTAAAGACATAGGTTAAAAAAATTAAAGGATGAGGAAAGGTATATGAACCCACAGAACGTTAGAAAATATTCTCAAATAATAGATAAGAACTTGTTTTCCAACCATATTTTTTAAATGTTACCACTCAATAATAAGAGAACACAATTTTTGAAATGGTCAAGGATCTAAATAGACGTTTCTCCAAAGAAGATACAGAAATGGTTTAGTAAACACACAAAAAGACGCCTAAAGCTATCAGTCATCAGGAAAATGCAAACCAAAACCACAATGAGATACCACTTCACACCCACTGGGATGGCTATAATCAAAACAATGTTGGTGAGGTTATGGAGAAATTGAAAGCTTCATACACTGCTGTTAGGAATGGAAGATACAGCTACAGTCTGGTAATTCCTCAAGTGTTGCTATTTGACCCAGCAGCAGTTCCAAACTACGAGAACTGCTGAGAACTAAAAGAATATGTTGAAGAAAATTGAAAGTAGAAGTCCACGTAAAAACTTGTACATGAATGTTCATAATAGCATTATGCATAATAGCCGAAAGGTGGAAACAATCCAAATAACCATCAACTGATGGATAAATTATGGTATATCCATATAATAGAATATCATTCAGCCATAAAAAGAAAGGAAGGGCTAATACATATTACAATTAAGATGAATCTTGAAAACATGCTAAGTAAAATTAGACACAAAGGATCACATTGTATGATCCCATGTACAGCAAAAGTCCAGAATAGACAAGTCTATAAAGAAAGAACAATGGGACGCCTGGGTGGCTCAGCGGTTAAGTGCCTGCTTTCAGCCCAGGGCATGATCCTGGAGTTCCGGGATCAAGTCCCATGTCAGGCTCCCTGCATGGAGCCTGCTTCTCCCTCTGCCTGTGTCTCTGCCTCTCTCTCTCTGTCTCTCATGAATAAATAAATAAAATCTTAAAAAAAAAATAGCAAAGAGCACATATTAGTGGTTACCTAGAGCTGGAAGGTGGAGGGGGGAAATGAGGGGGTTGGTGGATGACTGAGGTGATGCAAATTGATGATGATTATAGTTCCACAACCCTAAATATAATAAAAGCTAGTGACTTGTATGCTTTAAATAAATGAATTGCTTGTGAATTTTACCTAAATGAAGCTATTACCAAAAAATATATGTAACAAATATGAACCAAAAAACCAGGGTGGGTATCTTTAATAGTTGATAAAATAGAATTTAAGGCTAATAGAACCTTAATTCCAAAACCAGATGAAAATGAAGAAAAAAATGAAGTCCATTTTGTTTATGAATATATATTCACTGTTAAAAATATTAGCTAACCAAATCCAATAGTGTATTTTTTTAATATGACTATAACTAAGTTTTTTTCTCAGGATGACTCAGCATCAGAAAATCTATCACAGGGGCACCAGGGTGGCTCAGTCATTTAACTTGTCTGCCTTCAACTCAGGTCATGATTTTGGGGTCCTAGGAAGGGCTCAGGCTTTTCCCTCTACCTCTGCCCCTTTCCCCTGGTAGTGATCTTGTGCTCTCTCCCTTCCTCCCTGTCTCTCTCTCTCTCTCTCTCAAATAAATAAGTAAAATATTTTTAAAAGATCCATCATAGTGGGCAGCCCGCTTGGCTTAGCGGTTTAGCGCCGCCTTTGGCCCGGAGTGTGATCCTGGAGACCCAGGATCGAGTCCCACGTCAGGCTCCCTGCATGAAACCTGCTTCTCCCTCTGCCTGTGTCTCTGCCTGTCTCTTTCTGTGTCTCTCATGAATAAATAAATAAAATCTTTATTTTAAAAAATCCATCATAGTAATGGACAAAGGGGGAAAATTGTGATTTCCTTCATTGTTAAAGAAAAACTATGGTTTTTATTTATGAAAAATATAAACATGCTATCGATAGAATAATTTTTCAACTTGCTTAAAGTTAATAAAATCTGGAGTAGAGATACTCTTTTTGGAGAAATGTTAGGTTAAATACATTGCCTTTAAGACCAAGATTCAATGAGGAAGCTTATCACAATAGTTTGAATTCTGGCTAATATATAAAAAAATAAAAGTATGACAATGTGTAAAGATTGAAAGAGAGGAGGAAAAAAACTTTTGCAAATGATATATATGTAGAAAATCCAATATGAAGATGATATATACCTATATACCTAGACTTATGTTTTCAATTCTCTTTGAACTATTAAGAGATTCAGCAAAGCTGCCAGAAGAAGGTCAGCCTACGGAAATCTAAAAAATATCTTAACAATAGCAGGAAGTTTAGAAAAGTATCAAGGAATTAACAAGAATACTCAAGATCTATTTGGAGAAACATTAGAATTCTGATAAAGACATGGAAGATGAGGGGCGCCTGGGTGGCTCAGTTGGTTATGTGTCCAACTCTTGATTTCAGCTTAGGCCATGACTCATGGTTGTAGGATTGAGCCGCACATTGGGTTTAGCACTCAGCACGGAATCAGTTTGTCCCTCTCCCTCTGCTCCTCCCCTGCTCTATATATCCCTAAAGTAAATAAATACAATCTTAAAAGAAAAGACATAGAAGATGTTCAAAGAAATCTTGCTTCCAGTGAGATGGCAGTATTATAAAACTGACCATTCTGAACTTAATCTGAAAAATCAGTGTAATCCCAACCAAATTCCAGTTGGACTTTTTGAAGAACCCAAACTTACTTTAAAATTTGTATGGATGGGACACCTATGTGGCTCAGCCAATTCAGCATCAGACTCTTGGTCTCAGTTCAGGTCTTAATCTCTGTGTTGGGAGTTCCGGACCTGAGTTGGGCTCCATGCTGGGTGTAGAGCCTACTTTAAAAAAAAAAAAAAATGTATGAAAGAATATGGTCCACAAATAACAATAAACTTAGAAAAGGGGAATTCTCTACCAGACATTAAGACTACCGGATTACACAAAATCATAATAAAAACTGTATTGTGGCCTTAGAACAATGTCAATGAATGAAGGTCAGAGAGCATGGGTATACAGCAACTTAATATCTTGCAAAGGTGACAAATGTAAGAGGGAGAGGTTTTTAATTATTTTTCTTAAGATTTTATTTATTTATTAATGAGAGACACAGATAGAGAGGCAGAGACACAGGCAGAGGGAGAAGCAGGCTCCATGCAGGGAGCCCGACATGGGACTCCATCCGGGGTCTCCAGGATCACGCCCCGGGCTGAAGGCGGCACTAAACCGCTGAGCCACCTGGGCTGCCCGAGGGAGAGGTTTTAATTAGATGACATTGAGAATACTGGCTCACTAGAGGGAGAAAAATGAAACTAGATTCCTTAAATGGTAGACTTAAATGATAAAAGATGAAAACTATAAATTTAATACAAGGAAATATGGGAAAATCCCTCTGTTACCTACAAGTGGCAAATGACTTCTTAAACTTCAAAAGAATGAAGTATAAAAAAAGAAATTTTATATCAAAATTAAGCGTATCTGGTCTCCAAGAATCTATACATAAACAACAGAATGCAAAAAAAATATATTTGAGGGACACTTGGGTGGCTCAGTGGTTGAGCATCTGCCTTTGGCTCAGGGTGTGATCCTGGGATCAAGTCTTGCATCAGGCTCCTCACAGGGAGCCTCCTTCTCCCTCTGCCTATATCTCTGCTTCTTTCTGTGTGTGTCTCTCATGAATAGATAAATAAAATCTTTAAGAAAAAAAAAGGGAAATATATTTGAAATCAATAAGTAGTTAAATTAGATTATAGACAGAACTGCAAATCCATCATGGAAAACTGC